TTTCTTATCATTAAATTGGGAGCCATGGGCTGGGGATATAGCTCAGTTGGTAGAGTGCTTGTCCCCCCCCCCCCAAAAAAAAGGTAGGGGGGTGGGGAGGCCAGGTGCCATGGTGCACATCCTTAATCCTAGCTATTCAGGAGGCCAAGGCAGGAGGATTGCAGAGGCCAGCCTGGGCAATTTACTGATACCTTGTCTCAAAATCAGAAGGACTGGTAATGTGCTTGTGGTGCCCAGCAGGCCCTGGAGTAAAACCCCAGAACCACAAAACAACAACAGAAACCAGGAATGACGGGAATGGGCTGTGGCAGGGCCCAGGTTCTTGTGGTCCTGTTGGCGTCCGGCTCCCCCGGTGCTTACCTGGGCAGCAAGGAGGGGCTTGCCTTGCGGTCAGTGCTGGCTCCTGCCGTTGCCACGACTACTGTGCCTTTTGTTCACCGCACCAGAGCACCCAGCCTGGTGCGGTGGAGGTCCAGCTGCATGCTCCTCTCTGAGGCCTACGTCTGGACCCAGAGACCCGCACACCGTTGGGAAGACGAGGGCCCTCTTTTCTGCTTGAACCAGAGAGCCATGTGGGTTAGCTGCAGCCTTGAGCTCTTAACATGGCCCTGAGCTATGCACACCCAGGAGCCACCCAGAAGCAGAGCAGGGAGCGTCTCTCCACCCCACTGGCCTCCAGTGAAGAATGGTGGACTCAGAGGGCTGGCTGGCTCCTCCGGTGGAGCGAGGTGAGGCGGGGTTGGTGCTGTGCCCCGGAGTCAGGCCTCCCAGAGAGCATCGCCCAGCAGCAGCTTTACAGGCCTCTTCATCTTCCCTTCAGAATGAGCCTTCAGCCCTGGAGTCCTGGGAATGTGGCAGGTGTCCTCCTGAAGGCCTCACCCGCTTTGTTACTTTTTGCCTCCTTCATTTGGGTTACTTTGTTTCACCGCGCACTTGGTTAACCTCTCAAGAGCACTAAGAGACATGGGCTGCGCATTTTAATAGTTCCTTGACAGGTTGGGACGCCAGGCAGAGTGTGCGAGTGGCCTTGTCTGAGGTGATGGGTCCTCTCAGCAGGATGATGAACTGCCGGTCTGTGGCCTTGCAGTGATATGCACTTGTGCTCTGTGCCTTCAATTCATCAAACCCTAGGGCAATGCTTAGATAATCACAGCCTCTCTGACATATTTATAGTGTGAGAGTGTCTGATTGATGGTGGCCACCAAAGATGGGGAGGCTGCTGGGAGGTCACACAGGACTGCTGCTTCCCTCTAAGATGCCTCCCCCCTCCCCACTGCCTCTGCTTTACACTGCACTCCTGTGGCAGGGGCTGAGGCATAACTGGCCCTGAACACACGAGAGCAGTCTCCTCAGAGCCAGGCTGGGCTCCCTGGAGATGGAAAGAACAGAGGGACACACATAGGAAGACCCCTTACCAAGGCCAGCAGCCTCAGTTAACTGATTTCCCTGTGAGTCCTTGTCCCAGCCAGGACCCATGGTGGCAAGTGACTGACCTCAACAGAGAATACAGTCCAGCAGTAGCCCTGGAGGAATGAGGGGCTCCGCTGTCCTCCCTCGATGCAGACTCCGTCATGCACAGAGCCATCATCCACCTTGCTCCCAGCCCTGGTCCAGTCCAGTGAGGCGAAAAAGCCTGTGTCTCTCCTGAAAGTTCTGTATACACCATAGAGTAGTCTTCAGGCCCATCTGTGGAGTGAGGCCATCCCCATTGGGTCATGGGCACAGACTGATTGGCCAAGCCTGGCGGGATGTGCCTCTTGAGCCATAGAGAACCAAATGCCCACCCTGGAGTGGAGGAGGGTGGAGACAGCAGGCACCCAGAGAATAGCCAGGTGTCAGCATGAGGAAGGGGCATCCTGCTGGTTCAGTGACACACAGCCAATGTCCTTCATGCACACACGTGGTTGCAGCCACCTGGGCAGCGTTCACCACCACCGTGGTCTTCCTGCCCTCTGGGTCTAGACAGCATCTGGGAGCAGTCAGTTTGGGTGTTTTGTGAAGTGAATTTCATGTGCTGAATGTCTCTCGGGACTGTCTCACCACCAGAGAAAGGGACAGATGGGTCCATTCCATCAAATTGAGGGACTGCTGTTCATGCTGGGTGTTGAGGCGCATCATTGCGCACTGCACATGGTCCCTGCTTTGCTGGGCCTCCTGTGCAGCTAGGGAGACAATACTAAATAACAGGTTTGGAATGTGTGTGGGCCCTCGTATTCCTTGTCTGAATATTGGGTCCAAGTGCTTCACTTGGGATATGGCGAGGCAATGGCTACTGTCATTGGGAGACTGACCCAGAGGCAAGTACTGTCCAAAGGAGGTGGAAAGCTGAGAAACAGCCAGGCAGGTGCCTCTGCTGCTCTGGGCCCAGAGGGGCCCCCAGGCTGGCAGCTGATGGGAAGCGGGAACCTGCTGTGGTACAGGGAGAGTTATTGGTGTCTGTTATCAAGCAGGCATTCAGGGTGAGTTTAGCAAGACATGGGTCATCTCGGGCTCTGAAGAGGTCACTACTGTATGGCCTTCTCAGGGCAGTTGTTGGGATTTAACCCCACTTTGGCACTTCCTCAGTCTGTTGAGCTTACCTGTAACCCCTCTGAATGGAGCCTCCCCCTGGATGTCCTCACCAGTGCCCTGTGAACACCAGTGTGGAGGCCCTGCAGCCCATGATCACCTGCCTGGAGAGCACAGACCTGGGATTTGTAAGGGCCAAGGGAGGGGATTACTGCATGTGAGGCACTGCCCACACCAGAAAACCCCTCAGGCCTCCATCTGCAAGCTTGGGGTATATTGTCCTCACCGCCATGGGGAAAGCAAGAACACTACCCTCACCACCCATTGGGGGTCAGGTCTTGTGCTAACTGGTGGAGCCCACATGCCCCCGGGGGAAAGAGGGCTTGGGCCTGAGAGTCCCAGAGTCCTTCTTAGTCCTTGGCTTGGAGCCCACATTCTGCCCCCCCCTACCTGGTCTACAAATCAGAGGCCACACTTGCCTCATAAAATGGCCCTCACGGAGAGGGGTAGGATAGGGCTCCCGGGTGAATGGCCACACTGGGGAAAGAGGCCAGGGATTGAGGGAGTAGAAGATGGAATGAGGATTTAGCAATCACAGCAAGATTTGGGGAAACGCATTACAGGGTCCACAGTTCATATTGGGCAATTCCCACGGGTCAGGGGCCTTGACAAAGCTTCCAACTTACTGGTCAGCACAGCCTCTCAGCCTCCATGACTCCATATCCTAGGGCCTCAGCTTCAGGGCAGGCTTGAGAAATAATTGCCCAGTGAGGGAATCACAGAGGCCTGAGCTGAATGAGGATTCGACTTTAGAGAAGAAAGGACTGAGATACAGAGAAGGGGAGAGGTACCCCAGGCAGAGTGCGGGCATGGCAGAGATCCCTGTACACAGCCCGATAGCATCCTCGCTCCTGCTCCCAGGCAGGTGAACTTCATGACCTCGGGTGCGCAGCTTCACATAGCAGTGTCAGTGGAAGGTCCCTGGCCCAGGGTCTGCCTGGATCTTGGGGGCCTAAGCAGCAAGGCCAGGAGCAGGGACTTCACCCACGCAGCTCTGATTACATTAGTTTGTGGCTTCTCTGGTTCTTTGCCAAGGAAGGAGAGAGAAGAACGAAGTTGGACGCTAATTTAGAACTTCACTGAAGCATGAAATCGCTTCCTTCCGTTACCAGATTATACTTAAGTAGAAAATTGACTTTGGGTGGGGGCAAGGGGAGTTATATACTTTTGAAAATTAAAAGTGAAGAAGAAACTTCCTTGTGCCCACCACTGCTAGTGGGAGGAAAGCAGCACAGGCTTTGGGAGGTCAGGATACAGGAATGCAGTTTGCTTCTTGGCTGTGTTTTCTTGAGGCGTGTGATTTTTCCTGTCTTGTTGGTGAGAACTTCCTTTGACAACACTAAACTGGGTCTTGCTGGACTTTAAAATGCTTTGGAATTTTTCCCAAATTCGAATTTAATTGAATTTGGATCAAAGCCAAAGTGCTTTGAACCCTCCAGATTGAAGCAGGTGGTGAACCTCTGCCAGTCCAGTTGCACAGTTGCGGTGCCCAGCAGAACAGGAGGCAGGAGACACACCCTTGGTGGCCGAGATTCTGTGGTTACCTAGAGGGATCAGGAAGGGACTGTAGGCTTTGAGTGTTATGGCTGCTTTGGTGCTGAGGGTGTCACTGTCATCCCAGGCCTTTGTCTTGCTCCCCAGGGTGAGTCACTGGTGAACTGGCCTCACCTCCAAACCCTCACTCGTCCCAGCTAGGTGCAAAGGTTTCTGCAGACCCCTGGATTTGGAGAACATATCCACACTGAACATTTGGGGAGAAGGGGTTTTTTGGCTCCTACTGTTTGCAGCCTAGCACAGGATGGGAGTGGGGGTGGGAATATGGAAGGTTCTGCTGGGGTGCTCACTGGTCCTAGGGAACATGTTTAAAAAGTCCCCCATGGCCAATTCTCCAGGAATCTCAGCCTCCATATGCTGAAGGTAGAGACGGGCCTCAGAAGTAGACAGCTTGCCTGGGATACCTGGCCCTGGCTCCTGGCATAGCTGCTCTGCCTGTCTGAGCCTGGGCTGCTCTCACTAAACAATGGGGCTCACAAGAGACCCTTCAACCAAGGACTCCTGAGCATGCAGTGTGGTCAAGGGCACATGCTACTGAGCGCTCCCTTGGCCTCTGTCTACACAAATCAGGATGCCTCCCATGTGCTCTTCACTAGGAGAGGCAGCCCTAGTTGGAGCTTACCCCAGGGATGGCTCATCTTCAGCCCAAAGATGTGTCCTAGTGTTTCCAACCTAGGAACAAAATCAGTTTCTCCAGGGCAGAGAGAGACCCTTGGTGCCCATTGTTCTTAGAGGTGTGGCTGAGGGAGTGGGGATGGTTTGCCAGAGCTGAGCAGACTGGAGGGGAAGGAGAGGCTAGGGTGTGTGGGGCTGGGGGCTGAAGGCCGGGGGCCTGTGGGCAGGAGAGGCCTCTCTCACCTGTGTCCCTCCCCCTGCAGTTTGGCGCACCATGTCGGTCAGCGTCCACGAGACCCGCAAGTCACGGAGCAGTACGGGCTCCATGAACATCACCCTGTTCCACAAGGCCTCCCACCCCGACTGCGTGCTGGCCCACCTCAACACGCTGCGCAAGCACCGCATGTTCACCGACGTCACACTCTGGGCGGGCGACCGCGCCTTCCCCTGCCACCGGGCCGTATTGGCCGCCTCCAGCCGCTACTTCGAGGCCATGTTCAGTCACGGCCTGCGGGAGAGCCGGGATGACACGGTCAACTTCCAAGACAACCTGCACCCCGAGGTGCTGGAGCTGCTGCTGGACTTTGCCTACTCCTCCCGCATCGTCATCAACGAGGAGAATGCCGAGTCGCTGCTGGAGGCCGGCGACATGCTGCAGTTCCATGACGTGCGGGACGCGGCCGCCGAGTTCCTGGAGAAGAACCTCGTCCCCTCCAACTGCCTAGGCATGATGCTGCTGTCGGACGCCCACCAGTGCCGCCGGCTCTACGAGTTCTCCTGGCGAATGTGCCTGGTGCACTTCGAGACCGTGCGGCAGAGCGAGGACTTCAACAGCCTGTCCAAGGACACGCTGCTGGACCTCATCTCCAGCGATGAGCTGGAGACCGAGGACGAGCGGGTGGTCTTTGAAGCCATCCTCCAGTGGGTGAAGCACGACCTGGAGGAGCGGAAGGCCCACCTGCCTGAGCTCCTGCGCAGTGTGCGGCTGGCCCTGCTGCCGTCGGATTGCCTGAAGGAGGCGGTCTCCGGCGAGGCCCTCCTCATGGCGGACGAGCGCACCAAACTCATCATAGACGAGGCCCTCCACTGCAAGACCAAGATCTTGCAGAATGATGGGGTGGTCACCAGCCCTTGTGCCCGGCCACGCAAGGCAGGCCACACGCTGCTCATCCTGGGGGGCCAGACCTTCATGTGTGACAAGATCTACCAGGTGGACCATAAGGCCAAGGAGATCATCCCCAAGGCAGACTTGCCCAGCCCCCGGAAGGAGTTCAGTGCCTCTGCAATCGGCTGCAAGGTCTATGTGACGGGAGGCAGGGGCTCCGAGAATGGGGTCTCCAAGGATGTCTGGGTGTATGATACTGTCCATGAGGAGTGGTCCAAGGCAGCACCCATGCTGATCGCTCGCTTTGGCCACGGCTCGGCCGAGCTGGAGAACTGTCTGTATGTGGTAGGGGGACACACGTCCCTGGCTGGCGTCTTCCCGGCCTCGCCTTCAGTCTCCCTGAAGCAGGTAGAGAAATATGACCCTGGAGCCAACAAATGGACGATGGTTGCCCCACTGAGGGACGGTGTCAGCAACGCTGCCGTGGTAAGCGCCAAGCTGAAGCTTTTTGTTTTTGGAGGGACCAGCATCCACCGAGACATGGTATCCAAAGTCCAATGCTATGACCCATCAGAAAACCGGTGGACTATCAAGGCTGAGTGTCCCCAACCTTGGCGGTACACAGCTGCTGCTGTCCTGGGCAGCCAGATCTTCATCATGGGAGGTGACACAGAATTCACAGCTGCCTCAGCCTACCGCTTCGACTGTGAGACCAACCAGTGGACACGGATCGGTGACATGACTGCCAAGCGTATGTCCTGCCATGCCCTGGCTTCAGGAAACAAGCTCTACGTGGTCGGGGGCTACTTTGGAACCCAGAGGTGTAAGACCCTAGACTGCTATGACCCCACTTCGGACACGTGGAACTGCATCACCACCGTGCCCTACTCGCTCATCCCCACGGCCTTTGTCAGCACCTGGAAGCACCTGCCGGCGTGAGGAGCACCTGCAGAGCCCAGCCAGGTGAGCCCCAGCAGCCTGGGACTGCTCTGAGCCCCCAGAAGGACCAGGGGAGACACACTTCTGCTTGTTCCCACTCTGGATAATGGTGGCTGTATCTTCCAGGGAAGGCTAGGTGAACAGCAGATGACTGGGATTTAGGGACAGGTGACCCTGGGTTGAGGCCAGGGTGGCATGCTTGCTGTCGTGCAAGGGAATTTCTCTCTCTGTTTCATGCATGAGTTGGAGAGGAGGCCTTCCTTATAGCAGGCAGGTAGGTGGGCATGTGAATTAAGGGAGGCCATTCCTCCAGGCCTCAGAGTGGGGGTTGCCATGGAGCAGGTGCCCATGAGTCTGTTGGTCTCTATTCTTAGGACCACGGTTGTGAGAAATTGTTAAATGGAAACCAGTAAAAGTGCCACAGACAGAGAGAGCCGTATGACACATTAGGCTCTCAGGAGGATGAAAGGAGGGAGAGGAGACACCAGGACTTAGGCCAGTTCTGGGATAGGCAAAGAGTCTAGTGAGTGGAAGGAACAGTGGGAGGAAGGTCTGCTCTGGCCCCGCCTCTTCTGAGGGGGGTGTGGTTTTTCCTGCAGCTGGTCAGAGGCAACATCAAGTGGCAAGTACCAAAACTGGAAGGGAGTGTCCAAGCCAGCCTGGCAGGATGCTTCAGGAGGCACCAGCAAGGGTGGTGGGTTGTTAGGCACCAGAGGAAGGGTTCTAGGTGCTAGACATGCTCTCCATAGTAAGGCCCTGGGAAAGGCTGGCATGTCACTAGTTCTTGTCCTATGTCCCATCTTAGAGCCCTCCTCCTGTGCATACCTAGGATGGAGAATGGAGGGTGACCCCCAGGGGCCTGGGAAGCTGGAGGTAGAGTCTAGCAGCAGGAGAGGAGGCCTGGAAGAGCCTTCCTGCATGGGGCCAAGATGTTTTTGTTCCCCCAGCTGCACCAGCGACCTAGCTCTGATCTGGCCCCACCCACCTCCTGCTCTTACAGGGCTGAAAGACCCCCTGTGCAGGCTCAGGTCCAGACTCCTTCAGCCTAGGTCATAGGAACTGTGCCAGGAGGTAGCCAGAGCCAAAATATTAATTTCCTCAATGGATAGGCAGTCATTGAAACAAATGCTTGAAAGCTGTACACAGTGACAGCAGTCCTTCTTAGCTCCTAAACAAAAGCTGATGTCTCAGCCCTTAAATGAGATCCAGCCAAGCCTTTGAATCACTAAGGGTCTGGCAGGCATCAGGTCAGTAAGCACAGGGTGCCAAGCTCAGCCTGAGTAAGATCTGCCCTTGGTTCTCTTTATGGCCTTTTGGATTTGTTTTGTTTTGTTTTAATCTGCTTTCTTCTTTGGGAGAAAAATCTTACCCTGCCAAATTTCTTGGTCCCATGGGGAGTAAGCTTCAAGGAGGATATTGATATATCTGATTGATGACCTTCTCTGACTCTAGGTGGCTTAGAAACCTGGGGTGTTAGGTCACCTGCAGGGTGGAGGCCCCACTTAGACTGGGGGGGGGTGTCTCCGTCCATCGCTGGAATCCTGAGCGCACGGATCGGTGACATGACTCAAGTGGGAAGGGTAGGAGCAGGGAGGCTGCCCACCCCTGGATCATGTCCCTGCTGCCTGTCCCTGCCTGCTGGGGTGGGGTCAGCTCAGCTGGACCTGGCAAACCATGTGGTTTTCAGGAATTTCTGTGCTCTGGGGACCCCAGAAGGGAAGCACACATTGGCTCTGACTCTTGCTGTTTGCTTGACGCTGGGCAGATTATTCCATGCCAGGGGCTCGGCTTTCCTGTCTGGACAGTGGGAATGGATATTGTGTTGCTCGAAGTACTTGACTAGAGATCAAGTGAGGGGCCAGCATCAGATGCTGCTTTTCTAAGGGGGAGGAGGATGATGTCACGATGACAGCTTTGGGACACTGCACTACAAGGGCCTCGATGTCCCTAGCCCATCCTCACAGTTGCAATTGCTATAATCCGGGTACCTTCGAATGCTCACCAGAGTGCTACAGAGGCTTGTCCCTTTAGTCAGTCTTCCCTGGTGCATGGCGGGGTGTTGTTATCAGCCCCACTTTAGGGATGAGGAAGTGGGCTAATTGCACAAGAGCCAGCCCATCCTAGATGGGCCTAGGAAGCCACTCCCAAACCCTGCTTTCCAGAGCCTGTCTCCAAGGCATTCAGGCTGCAGGCGTCTTGAGTTCCTGCAGTGGGAGCTCCAGGTTGCTCTGGGGCCCCAGCTGTGGCTCTGTGACCTTTTCATGAGCCCTAGCAGCCAAGTGGAGTCCTCCTTGCAGCCCCCCTCTGTCTAGACCTCTCCTCCTCTGACTCCTGTCCCCTCTGGTCAATGCTGGGTTGTTCCAGGCTCTGCAGGTGACTGCTCCTATGCCCCTTCTCCTGCCTGGACAGCTCCAGGTTCTACTTAAAGGCAGGTTCTCCTCGGGAGAGCCACACTCCATGCCAAGCAAGCAGGGCAGAGAGCTGACACTCAGGGCACTTGCCTGACCCTTCCCATGTTCTGGGTGGCCATCCACACCTGCCCTTGGCTCCCTGAGAAGTGGACTGAGCTGGAGGAGAGCCCCCAACTTAGCCACCGACCAGGACCTCATCTAGAAGTGGTCTCAGCCCTCTCCCCCCAAATACATGTCCCTCTCCTGTTCTTCCAGCCTTTCCTGGCAAGTAGCAGCGGGTGGGGGTCCAGATGAAGGTCCTTCCCAGAAATGTAGCTCTCCCTATGCCTATAGAACTCCATCCATTGTGCCTTGTGCAGATGCAGCTCCAGGAGCCACTAGCCCAGGTCCCCTGCAGGTGGCAGCTTCTCAGCACCTCTGGTGGCCTCCTTGCTCCATGTGGAGCTCTTGCTAGGGGCTGCGTCTGCGCTGAGTATCTTTGTCCTTCCCTAGTCCTCCCAGAACAACTTGTCATATCTGTTGATACCACAGGGTTGGCAACATGACTGTGAAGGCCGATAGCTGGCATCAGGCGACCATCCTAGGAGGGTTGAAGCAGGACCTGGGCCCTAGGCGTGCCCCACCCCTGCAGGAATCTCTGGGGAGAGTCACCGGGCATCCTCAGGTCCTGCAAGGCATGGAGTGGCCCTTCAGCAGCACAGTGGGACAGGGCATTGCTATGTTGAAAATTGAGCACCATCAGGACCTTGACCTCTGGGGCCAGCACATTCACTCTAGTGTCACAGTAAGATCCGTGTCCCTAGGGACGGTTGGCAGCGGGACCCTGGAGCTAGGTGTGCCCCCATCTCCCTGGATTGCCTGCTGAGGGTGGACTTGCCACAACGTCCTTTCCTTTTACCTCTTCTCCAGCTCCCCATGCCCCTCCCTCCCACCCCCCTCCCTCACAGGCTTCAGGACATCAGTGCTGGCATCCAGGCCATGAGACCTCGTCTCCTCCTCGCAGGGCTCGGGGGCTCCAGTCTCAGCTCAGTCACTAGGGGAGCCTGTCCTTCCAGGAGCCTGGGGTCACTTGTGCCTGTGAGAAGCCTAGGAATAGGATGGCACCCGGGTCTCCATAGGGCAGTGCACGTCCACAGGCAGACCTGCACCAGCAGCCCTCAGCCCAGGCCTTGGCTGTGCCTGCTGCCCAGGCAGTGGGGGACGACCAGACCATCTTCCACGGCGGGGGTTTGTTTCATTTTACAACGAGGAAACCAGGCCTCAGAGAAGAGGCTGCCAAGAATCAGGAGGCCCCTCAGGGACGACCTTGGGATGAGCCTGAGAGCAGCAGGTGATGGGAGAGGGAGCACAGGAGCCTGGCTTGCGCCTCCCCGGGTGTCCGGTCTTTAGGGCACCATCTCTCCCTCTCAACAGCCAGGGGTGCATAGCCCTCACCCCGGCACTGGTGGCAGTGGGGCCTTGCCCTGAGGGGACCCACATGCAGCGTGTGATATGCTGAGGTGGGGCCCAGTGGCTGGGACGGCCTCTCAGGGGGACCTTGACAGCCAGGCCCTGGAGCTCTGGTGATGCCATCTAGAACACCACGAGGGGTGCCTTTTGGTTTGGGAGAAACTCGGAGGGATTTGTGGGGCCTTCACTAGTCCACTGAGAACACAGCAGCTACCTTGCAAGCCCAGCACAGGCATCTAGAAACCTGCTGGCACCTGGAGATGGGGATTCCTACAGGGCAGGAATCCCCGGTGCTGGCTTCAGGTTTTTGTTTTTTTGGTTTTTTTTAACGATGTTACTTAAATACATAGAAACGTACAACTAAGTAAAAGCTCCTGTGTTCGCAGTCTAAGCAGCTGCTAGGCAGCACAGATGTACAGGTTAAATGCAACACACGCCCAAAAACCCCTGAGACTGGAGCACCCAGGATATTTTGCGGAGACTGTGCTGCCTCAGCCTTTTGGAGTGAAGGCTGCATGGGCAGGGCTGTTAGGGAGCACGGCCTGTCTGTGCCCCAGGAGCCCTAAAGGCAGCTGAGCAGAGGCTGAGCAGAGTCAGAGCTTGTTGGGCACTGAAATTGTGAGTGGACACAGGTGCACCAGAAGACCCTCATGGAGGATTCTAACTCCTCCCCTTCATACAGGGGACCCTCCTTTGAGAAACCCTGCCCAGCAGATCTGCTGTCTGTGGGGGCTTCACCCTCTCATCCAGGTCCTCCGCCTGCCCAGTGCTCTGTCCTGTAGGGTGTGTCTGTCTAAATTCACTCAGGAGCTACAGCCTGGCCAGGGGATGTCTCCTGGGCTCACAGCTCCAGCCACATCCCCCCCTCAGGGCCAGGATTTGCTGAGCTCTGAGAACCAGAGCAGCAAGTCAGCTCTTCTCCCTGCTTCAGGGCTGCTCCCCACCAAGCCTCTCCTAGCCCTGGGATTCTCAGCTTCTCTGGAAAGCATCTCCTCACTTCCAGGAGAAGCACTGCTGCTCAAAGCGGGTGCATATTGATAGAGAACACAGCACAGGAGTGTGAGCTTCCTGACCATAGGGACAGTCTCACCTGGTCCCCACTATGTCCCCACAGCCTGGAGTCAAGAGGCTGTGCAGTAAATGTTTGTCTACAGCACAAATGAGTGTGCTGGCTACTGTCCACAGCCTGTCTGTCACTTATTCCTCTTAACAGCATGGCCGACCACATGCCTGCTCTCCCCCCTTCTTGCAGACCCTCCATCTGCCCTTGTGTTTCTGCCTCACCAGCCTACTTTTATTTATATTTTCAAATGTGCCAAATTCTCACCTCAGGGTCTTTGCACATTCTGTTCCTTCTGTCTGGGCTGCCGTTCTCCTCTAGCTTACTCCTGCCCATCCTTCTGGTCTCAGGTTAAATATTACTCACTTCCCACGTCCTCCACCAAAATAAAATGAAGGCCCTGGCTCTACTCTCATTTTAAAATTTGTCATTTGTAGCACTTCTCTCTGTATAATTATTTGTACAAGTCTGCGGTTTCCCCCACAAGGACCTGGACGGAGACAGTGGCTGTGTCTGTTTGCCTTCCTGTGCCCCCAGGTCTCCAGGGTGCCCAACAGTGGGAGAGTGTGTAGGGAATGTGGTTTGGGATGAATGAGGGCAGATAGGTGGTATCTCACATTGCAGGTGAGGAAACCTCTGTGCAGCTGGTGAGGTAGAGCCCTGTTCTTACTCCTGGACTTCTGCTGTCGGTGCCTCTTGATTTTGTTCCAGTTTAGGACAGAAGAACATGGCCACTGATTTGTTCTTTCATTCTCTCCCATTCTCTCCTCCACAGACTCTGCGTGTCTCTCCTGCCCCGCGGCTGCGGCCCTCACTTTCACAGAGTGGCCTTGACCCCGCTGCCACAGTGCAGAGCTCTCCGAGTGGCCAGAAGCCGACTGCACCAGCTCCAGGCAGCAGCAACCTCGAGGCTGTTCTGAGCTTTCGACAAGACAAGCATCCTGCGGCCCTGGAAGCCTCTTCAGCTTCGAGTGGTTTGCATGGAAGAAGAGCAGCCAGAGGACAGGGTGCCAGCAAAACTCCCCTGGGCCTTTGGGGAGGACACACCTGCAGAGGCTCGAGGTCATCTGTCAGCAAGTCCTGGACTTGGGCTGGGAGGTCAAGGGCAGAGAAGGGGTGGGGTGGCAGCATAGGAGAGCTTTGGGTCACTTAGCACTGATGGCACAGCCTTTGATTCTAGGGCTGCTCTGTGGGGGGCTGTAATGTCACCCACAGCTGCTGTCCCAGGCCTCGGGGAGGCATGTCCACCAGAGTGAGCAGAAGGCTGCTGAGGAGAAAACAGCATGGCTTTCATAAAGGCAGAAACCCCACCTGGTGACCTTGTTGACATCTGCAAGTCTTCATTAGCACATGGACTCAGACCCCCAAGGCCCAAGGGGAGATTCCTGCCCCATGAGGCCCTCAAACCTTAGCCCACTGGGGACCTGGCCCCGGGATGCTGTGCCCAGGAGGCTGGGGTCAACTCAGCAAGACTGGAGGCCTAGGAACTGTCCCCTCAGCCCACCCTAAGAGGCAGTAGTGACTCCCTCTCCTGATGGGAGCGCACCCATCAACAGCACCAAGGGCTCTTTCGGGAGATCACACCTGTCCTCAGGTGGTGGCCCTGCCCTCTAAGACTGGGAGCAGCTGTGAGCTGGGGATGACAGAGTTACCAGAGGGCACCCGTTACAGATACTCCACGGCCAGGTTTGTCTCAGTTGGAGGTTGGTGACAGGCCTCCAGCCAGTGCCCACTGTCCTCTCTGGCGGTTTGTCCTTGTAACTGGCGACACTGCATCCTGACCCATTTGCTCTGTGAGCTCAGAAAGTAATAGAATGGTCCCGAGAGAATTGCCAAACACTTGTGTATTGCTTTCACCTCCTAGTTCCTGGGGAGCCCCTCATCAGTGAACTCACAGAATTCAGACTGCATGGAGGTCAGCTTCTGACACCTGGTGTCAGACTTCAGTCTCATCCTTCACTCATCCTATCCACCATCTGAGGGAAACAGGGACGTGGTACCATGGTAGGGGGCTGGGCAGGGCTCCCTGACCTGTGGCTTCCCAGGCCACCTGCCATTTGCATGTGCTGCTTCTCTGGCTCAGGAGTGGGATTCATGTGGGCTATGCTGCTGGTAGAGAAGGGGGTACAGACCAGTTACTTAATGACCCCAAATGACCCCATACCTCTACACCGGTGCTTCCTCTGTGGGTGTCTTTTGGGGAGTGGGACTTTGGGCTGGGTTTGCCTATGGATGGGCTCCACCAGGAGAGAGCTGGAAGTGGCAGTTGCTTCCGGTGGTACCTTAGACCCCACACCCCACCCTTTCCAGAGGCCAGCCTGTGCTCTCAGGCAGCTACACTGCTGGAGAACTTGGGGCTCTTGGGCCCTGTAGCTGGTGGAAGATCTGCAGGCCTGCAGGGCGTGGCCCTTGACCCCGTGGGCTGCTGAGCCGAGATAAAGCACACTTCTCACAGCACAAAGGACCCGGCCATGGTGCTTTCCCCCAAAATGTGTTGCTTTTATCAGTTTTCTAACTTAATAAAAAAGAGTTCAGAAAGTCTTGGTCTTCCTTGGGTGCTGGGACCAGTTTTGGCAGACTTGAGTTCCTGCCCACCACCAGGGCCTAGGGTGTGCCTGTTGGCCTCTGATTTGGGGCCTTGTGGAGAACCCACAAGAGGAGAGGGTTCCTCTTCCTCCTTGAGTGTGGTTGCCCCAGAACCCTTTGCGTTGATCTTGGAGCATCCTGATGCTGCTCCCCCTCCTCAGTTGGAAGTGTAACTCCATCCCTTTCAACAGGTGTTTTTTGTGCAGTGTGGGCTCCTGATTGTCACATAGATGTGAAAGCAACAAGTGCCATGCAGTGGGTGTGACTTCAGGCAGCTTTCAGACCTCAGCACGCCTGACTGCAGGGTGGGCCCTCAGTAGTTATGCCACAGCAATCCTGTCACCTCTTCTCTGCGCTTTTCACACTAAATGCAGGAATGCCCCTCCTGCAAGTGAAGCAGCTGTGTGGGCGTCAGCACCCCTCAGCACAGCCCTAAGCAACGTAGCCAAGTGGCCTGTGGCAGGGAGGATGCCGACTGACTGCAGCGTGGTGCTCAGCTTCAGTGGTGGCCCTTGAAACGCAGACCCACAGAATCCACATGGGGCCTTCAGGGTATGAAGAAGTGATCCAGATGCTGAAGGAGGGTGTGATGTCAGTTTTCTTGTGACTTTGAATGGAGCACTTCCCTGCGTGTATCACTAGAGTGTTATAAGTAGATGAGCCAAGAGCAGAGTGGTCCTATTTGCCACAGCCCCTGAGGCAAGGCCCCGGGAGGGACATCCTCGCCCACCCCACACACCGCCTACTCCTACACCGTTGGTGGGGAAACCACAGTGGAGGCGGCCAGTTCCTTGGCAGCAGAAGCCAGGGCTTGGCCTCTGGTTAGACTGCTGTAAATGCAGCCCAGACAGGAGAGGTGGCCTGCTGTGTAGTGACAGTGTGAGCATCAGCAGACCCAGGCTTCTCTCATTGTCCCATCGTCTTCCAGGCAGTGCCCTATTTCCTGTTACCACATGGTCCTCCCAGCTCCTGCCATCCCATTGTCATTCCAGTTGGTAGAAAAGGGAGAGGAGGCAGGGGCAGACAAGCCCCTAAGGGCATGACTCACAAGTTGCAACATAACTTCTGTGCCCTTTCAAGATGTGTGGCCTCTGGGGAGGCTGGGAAGTGCCCAGCTTCAACCCCAGGACTCTTGTCACTAGAAGAGGGAAGATGGATAGGTAACAGACCCCTCATCTACAAGCTGGTCTAAACTTGGAAGGAACCTGCTCACGCTGACCTGCCTCCTCTTCTCAGGGAGCTACTGAGTCCGAACATTGAGAGCTGGCTCTGCTCATGAGTGTTGTCCCCTGGCCAGTACTTTGTATAATTACCTCCTACAAAATTTAATCTGGTGGCCCGCACGGGGAGTGACTGAGGGTAAGTAAACTGCTCGCCCCTGAGGGCAGGGCAAGAGAATGGGTAGCCATTTTAAGATTCCTCTTTTGTTTTGCTTCACTTTTGTTTTAAGTTGCCTGTCCCTGGAGATGAGTGAGACGGAAGAAAAACTGCTCACATCCGAGGAAAAACTATTTCCGTCTGAGGAACAGATAGGGAGAAAGGTTATAATGATTTTTTGTTGTTCCATTTTTATTTCATTCTATCTCGGTTTTGTTTGGTGTTATCTTGTTGGGTTGTGTTATAGTAGAAATATGGGATCAGAAATTAGTAAAAAAACAAACCGAAAGAGTGTTAAGTAAATTGTTAGAGGAAGGAGGCATCCCAGTAAAATCAAGAGCAGTCAGGGCATACGTTGATACAATACAAAAATGTAGCCCATGGTTTTTTAAGGAGGAGTTGTTAAATATATCATAATGGAACCATCATGGTGAAGATTTAAAAAGAATAGAAAAGCCCAGGGACTCTGCCAGTTGGCACATTGCTATTGTGGACGTTCGTATCTTGTTTGCTTAGTCCAAAGCCTTCAGTTCAGACAATGGTAGAGGAAGGAGAAAACATATTGACTCAAGTAAAAGAGAAGGTCTCTCAAGCTAGTCAGACAGAGGAAAAGATTCAAGTAAAAGAGAAGGTCTCTCGAGCTAGTCAGACAGAGGAAAAGATTTAAGTAAAACAGAAGGTGTCTCAAACTAGTCAGACAGAGGAAGAAAATTTAGAGCAGAAAAAGCCATCAGGGGGAAAGTTACAAAAGGAGACTTCTACTAACACCTTTCTATCACTAGAGGATGTAAGGGTCCAACCAACAGCGCCACCTCTAGAGGAGACTGTTACTAACACCTTTCTATCACCAGAGGATGTAAATGTCCAACTAACAAGGCCACCTCCATATGCTGGGAGGCCCCCAACCCCCGCAGTTGATAGTTGGGATCCTGAGACAGGATCTCAAGTATTAACATGCCCTGTATTTGAGGTAGGAGGGCAGTGAATTTCCCAGGGTTTAATTTTCAAAATAGTGAAGGAGCTAAAAGAGGCTGTAACAACCTATGGTCCTCAAGCACCCTTCACTGTAAGCTTGGTCGAATCCATTAACAACTTGAACATGACGCCAGCAGATTGGGTTAAAATGTGTAAAGCTGTGCAAAATGGAGGTCAATACCTGTTATGGAAGGTTGCCAATGAGGAATTTTGCAAGGAGACGGCTAGGCGAAATGCAACAGCTGGTTATCCTCAGAGAAATCTAAGATATGTTGTTAGGAAAGGGACCTTATGAGGATCAGCAGCAACGAATTGCATATGATCCTGGCGTATACTTACAAATTGCTGCAGAGGCAATTAGGGCATGGAAGACTTTACAAGGACATGGAGGTTTACAAGGTTAATTATCTAAGGTAATACAAGAAGCTAATGAACCTTATGCTGAATTTGTAGATAGGCTTATTCAAACAGCTACCAGAATTTTGGGGAATACAGAACAAGCAATGCCATTAATAAAACAACTGGCTTATGACCAAGTGAATCGTTGGTGCAGAGATATCATTAGACCATGGAAATAGAAAGATTTAAACACATATATTAAATTATGTAGAGACATTAATGAACAAGAGCAAGTCATGGCAGCTGCAGTAAAACAGGCTTTAGATGCCAGAGACATTAATGAACAAGGGCAAATTGTGGCAGCTGCAGTAAAACAGGCTTTATATACCAGACCAAGAACATGCTACAATTGTCAACAAACAGGACATTTTAAAAGGAATTGCCCCTTAGGAAGAGGGTTTAACAAAACTAGGTATCAAAGGAGTAGAATACTGGGTATTTGCCCACGATGCCGTAGAGGGAGACATTGGGCTAATGAATGCCGTTCTCAAACCACCATAGAGGGTACTCCATTACATTGGGCTAATGAATGCCATTCTCAAATCACCATAGAGGGTACTCCATTATCAAAAAATGAACAAGGACAAGGTGTTTATCCACAATATCGTGGACAAAGGCATCGGGCTCCATTGCCAAAAAATGGACAGGGGGCCCCAATGCTCCTGGGCCCCAAACCACAAATATACGGAGCACTGGAGGAACCCAGCAACCCCATCAGGGTAGTGCCCAGGACACATTGTCCATCAGATCCCTCATCAGACAAACCAGAGGGAGCGCAGGGTTGGACATCTGTGCCTCTGCCAGATCAGTACTAACTCCAGAGATGGAAGTTCAAATCATTCCCACAGGGGTAAAAGGACCTCTTCCCAAAGGAACAGTAGGCTTATTATTGGGATGAAGCTCTTCTACTCTAAAAGGACTTTTGATAAGTCCTGGGGTAATTGATCCCAATTATGAAGGTGAAATAAAAATTATAGCCAGTTCTCCAAAGGGTATAT